GGAAAATTTATCTTTCCTACACAAGAAGTAGAGGAGGAAACAAATGAAGATTATCCTTTGGAAGAAGAGCCAGTAAAGAGGGAGATTCCAACTCAGGAACCTCGACAACAACTTGAATCAATTGCAACTAGCAGGCCAAAAAGGACAATAACAAAACTTGTTCGTCTTATAGAGACAGTTGCTTGTGCCGTCTCAATTGTAGCTGATGATGTTCCTACCACATATAAAGACGCAGTCCAAAGTTCAGAAGAAAATAAGTGGAGGATTGCCATGAATGATGGAATACAGTCCCATCATCAGAATCATACATGGAGATTGGCCAATCTCCCGAAGGGAAAGAAAGCAATTGGGTGTAAATGGGTATTTGAAAAGGAGGAAGGATTTCCTAACCAAGAAGATGTTTGCTATAAAGCAAGATTGGTGGCCAAAGGATATGCTCAAAAGGAGGGAATTGATTACAATGAAGTATTTTCTCCAGTTGTAAAACATTCCTCCATTAGAATTATGTTGGCTTTGGTAGCACAATTGGATTTGGAACTAGTTCAGATGGATGTAAAAACTGCGTTTTTACATGGAAACTTGGAGGAGGAAATCTACATGACTCATCTAGAAGGATTCAAAGTTGTTGGAAGAAAAATATGGTACGCAAACATGAAAAATCAAATGGATTGAAACAATCTTCTAGGCAATGGTACAAGCAATTTGACAAGTTTATGTTGCGGCAAGGTTACAAGAGAAGCAAATACGATCATTGTGTGTATTTGTGCAAGCTTGAAGATGGTTCCTTTGTATATCTTCTCCTATATGTTGATGATATGTTGATAGCTTCCAAGNCGGCAAGGGTACAAGAGAAGCAAATACGATCATTGTGTGTATTTGCACAAGCTTAAAGATGGTTCCTTTGTATATCTTCTCCTATATGTTGATGATATGTTGATAGCTTCCAAGAATTCGGAAGAAATTGATAAGTTGAAGATTCAACTGAAGAAGGAGTTCGAGATGAAGGATCTAGATGAGGCAAAGAAAATTCTTGGCATGAAGATAATAAGAGATAGACGTTCAAAGAAACTCCGTTTATCTCAAAAGGAATATTTGAAGAGAGTACTTCAACGCTTTGGCATAAATGAGAAGACTAAGCCAGTTAGTACTCCACTTGCTCCCCATTTTAAGCTAAGTAATACTATGACACCAAAAGATGAAGCTGAACAGGAATATATGTCAAGGGTACCATACGCAAATGTTGTTGGTAGCTTGATGTATGCAATGGTCTGTACGAGACCTGATATTTCACAAGTTGTTGGAGTTATTAGCAGATATATGCATAATCCAGGAAAGGAGCATTGACAAGCTGTGAAGTGGATTCTACGGTATATTTATAATACTGTAGATGTTGGGTTAGTTTTTGAGCAGGAAGGCAATCAATTTGTAGTTGGATATTTTGACTCAAATTTTGCGGGTGATCTGGACAAACAAAGATCAATTACTGGTTATGTGTTTACTTTTGCAAAGGCACCAGTTAGTTGGAAGTCTTCTTTGCAGTCAACAGTTGCTTTGTCTACAACACATGCAAAGTACATGGCTATTATAGAGGTTGTGAAAGAGGCAATTTGGCTTCAGGGGTTGCTAAAAGAGCTTGGCATTGGACAAAATAGTATCACAATTTTTTGTGATAGTCAAAGTGCTATTCAATTAGTGAAGAACCAAGTTTATCATGCAAGGACGAAGCACATTGATGTTCGGTATCATTTCGTACGAGAAATCATAGAAGAAGGTGGAGTCACGGTAAAGAAAATTCATACTACAGAGAATCCTGCTGATATGCTGACAAAGGTGGTGACTGCGGTCAAGTTTCAACATTGTTTGGATTTGATCAACATTGTTGAACACTGAAGATTGAAGATGAAGACACAGCTAAATTTGTTATTAAGAGAAAATTGAAGATGTGAAGTTTTGCCAAGGTGGAGATTTGTTGAAAATGTCAAAAGTCCCACATCGGTGGGTGACATATTTGGTTGGGATTTTTTCCCTATAAAAGAAGGCCTAATGTTTAGGATTTAAACACACTTCTCATTTGCCTTCTTATCTTCTTAAGGTATTTGTATCTTCTCTCTTTAGTATTATTTCACTTGTATTTTGGAGTGGAATAAAATATTGGTTGTGTCCGAGGAAGTAGACAAAAATTGGCCGAACCTCGTAAATTCTAGTGTTCCTTTTATTGTTGTTTTATTGTCTTATTTATTATTTGGTGACTGTCATAATTTTTGGTATAGCAGTTGTGACTCATTCACACTATATACATTTGGCTTCCGCAACGGTATAGAGGACATAAGATTCTTGAATTCCATCATTCGTCGCTTGGTTTCCTCTGTTGTCACATTCTCGGTGTCGCTTACAACCTGAGAAATGTTATTCTGTGAGAAATCATAAACTGCTAAACTACTATAAATGTTAGACTACTTGGAATATGAATAGTTTAGACAATGGTAAAATATAATTGAACCAGATTAGAAGGATCAGACTATCAGTTTCTTTGCAGAATTTTCTTCACATCTAAAGTAATTTTAGGATGTCACTCACAATATAAACATATATGTAACCAACAGATGAAGAAAATAAAGGCTGTTACAGCCACAAAAATAAGTCACATGCAAATGTATTGTTCAATGGACATATTCTGTAACTGAAAAAGTTATCAATAAGCTATGTTTGAATTTGTATTTTATTCGTAAGGCGAATAGATAAAGATGAGAGATAAATATAACATTGGGCCTTTCTTCTGTTTCATGCTGCCCTGATTTAAGCTACTGAAGAAATATTCATTCTGATATATTCACATCAGTGGAAGATGTTTACGAGAATACCTATTTAAAAAATATGTTAATACGCAGACGCGAAGAATGTTTGTTTCCATTTAATCAGGATCAAACAAGTCACCTAAGAGTAGCTCCTTCACATTTCAGAGAGACTTCATTGGAGGTTAAGTGTGCGATTTGCTTCTCTTTTGCTGTCGCGCCATTTCCGTGCATGAAGATCATATCAAGTTATGAAAAAGAACTTATGACCTCAACCTTATGATTTACTAGTAGTATATTTTAGAGGTAAAGGGCTTCCTATTTCCTTGTGTTTATTGATGAAGAAAATTTACCAGCATATCTTTTATACATTCCAAAAGTTCGTCCACGAAAATCCAGGAGCTTTCCTTATATATCTTGATCAATATGCGGAAGTAGTTTACAACCTGTACCGAAAAAAGGATTAGTAAAGCTACAGAAATACTGGAAAATTCTGTCATTAGTAATCGGAGGTCATGGTTCCTACAGACCTTTTTAATGATTTCTGTTTCCAGCTGAGTCACATTTGCCTTCAGCACCTGTATTATAAACTGTGATATAATGTCCCATATTGAAGAAGAAGAGGTTTTTTTATGGGTATATAAGCAATTGCTTCGGCTAAAGAGTTGTTTTAAAGAGTTGTCTTAAAGAGTTGAAAAGAAGGCAAGCCTCGCGCTGTCGTCGCTCGCTCGGCTTCTGCTTCGGCTTCGGTCAAATGATTGATTGATTAACTTTTTGGACCAAATTTATTTGTTAAGAGTAAAATATTAACAGAAATGTTATTAAATATTTGTTTTAATAACAGAATATTAATATTAAATCCAATCCGTTTTTCTGTTTTGGTAACAGAAAATTAACTACCCTTTTCAATTTTCCCTCTTTATTGTTGAGTAAATAGCCATTTATGTAATGACATTTATGCTGTGGTCGTTTTGCAGAAACAGTCATTCTGAAGAGTTGCACCTTTTTAGATTTCAGCCCAACTTTGGCTATAAATACAACACTATTCTGCTCAGAATTTCACTACGATTTTCTGAGTTTCTCCTCTTTCTTCTGCATACTTTTAGCATCAAACAAAACAATAGTAAGTGTGATTTGCTACCGAACTTTGTGTTCGCTGAAACACTGGGGTTTGAAGTACCACTACACCAGTGTATAATTCGTTCTATCCTGGGAGGAAATAATCCATAACCTTGGGTACTAGAAGGGGATTAAATTTCTTAAGGAAACACTATGAATTCAGTGGGTTCGAACTGGTTTTCTATTATTTAGTTGTTCACTTCTGTTTATGTTTATTTATATTTCCAGAATTATTTTACAAATACAGTTTACTAACAGCAACAACTTCGGCATGGCTTGGACAACAATTAGTCATCAGAAAAATCCATATTAGAAGCGAAAAATAAAATCAAAGAATAGGGAGAATGAAATAATAGGAAACGGCCTTTTCAAGTAAAGCAGATACCTGAAACAGCTATGTTTCTAGTATCTCCGTCGTGAAATGTCACAAGCGGTATCAATATGTCAGAAATCTGCGCAAATAACGTTTGTATAATGTCAAATTTGAATACAAAAGGCATATGCAGAATTAAAAAAACACAAGCTTCACAACCAACCTGATCGATCCATGGAAAGATCTTTTCTTTGAACTTACTAGTTAAGCGAAACAAAACTTTACACGCCATAAGTTTCTCCGTCAGAACAACACGTTCTCTGGCACTGTAGAGAACTGCAGTGTGTTAGTAGAAAGCCAAAGTATGTTAAGAATCTTAAGGAAACAAGTCTTCGAATTATCCACCTTATTCATGCTCCACACAGCAACTTGTCCGGTCAATATTATTTGTCTATGATAAACTTGATTAACTATTCTAGTTGCCAACTTAAGCATATGTAACATTACTCAGTAAAGCTTGTGCCAAATCTGTTGGCTATCATTAGAAAGCTAAAAGTATATAAAGAAGAGACGAACCTCCAATCAACTGTTTCTTCATAGGGATGACAATTGGGGCAGGGCGGGGCAGGGATAATCTCAAATAGGGCGGGGCAGGGGAAGAATTTAATGGGGCAGGGCGGGGCAGAGCAGCAGGGCAAATTGTTATATTTAAAAAATTTTAATAGGGCAGGGTAGGGCAAAAACTTTCAATCTCTCATGCGGGTTAATAGCTGGGTCGGGTCAAAATAAGTTAGACCCACGTACCCCCAAATCTTAAATCCCAAATGCTAAAAGCGTAAAACCTAATTTCCAAACTCAGAAGTCAAAAACTTTCAATCTCTCATGCGATTCTTCTTCCTCTTTGAACTGTTGCGAATCTGCGATTCTTCTTCCTCAAACCTTCTTCGATTCTTCTTCCTCCAGTAAATCCAGGTAAATATCTAATAAGTACACAGTTCTCTTTTTTCTCTAATAATTTTCATTCATTTTGTCACGACCACTGGTCTTTTCCGGCCTAGTAATGGTGTTTCACTGATCAACAGACCTTTTTTGGAGAAGAATTACCTTAGACCAGGTCTACCGGTCTTTATTTGTCAGGTTCGGACTCGATTTTGTTGCTACTTGGTTTCTCTGATTCTATATTCTGTTGGGAGATTAGTGTCGGGCTGCCCTTTTTTTTTTTAATTTTGTCACTGATATAGTGGGTTGCCTATGCATAGAGAGTTATCTGATTGCTGGGTTCAGTACTATACGTGCTTTTTCTGTACCTTAATCCTGGCATAATGTTACTCAACTACCAGGTTTCTTCTATTTCTGCTTTGTGATTTATCTGTGTGGAATAAGACTTGGTCGAAAATCTTTGTTTGAGCTATCCCATTTGTGGAAAATTTTGGTGGATCCTCCAATTTATTTTGGTAGTGTGAGTAATTATTTGGAAAGGAAACAAACGATGGGTAGTTTTAGTCTTTTAGAAAATAATTCTTGGCTTCTCCTTCGACAAGAACTAATAGCGTTGCTATGGCTTCTCCTTGGGCTGTTAGAATTGGCATGGCGGGCTTGTTTCATTCTTAGTGCCATATTGCTATGGCTTCCTGGAGTGCATAAAATGAAAAAAAATAAATTGTTTTCTACTTCCAAATGTTTCCTATAGGAACTCCATTGTAACACAGGGAATTTGCACAATGTATTGTAAAAGAATCCGATTCACATAGATAATATCATCAAATTTCTTAGTTTAAATATAAGATCATCTGTTGTAGATGGATACCATCTTTTGCTACTTTGTTTAACACAGTACTTGGAATATCTAAATACTCCTACCAAATATTTTGTTAATATAAGTTAATACTAGCAGATTCGATGTACATGTCAAGGAAAACCTGTACCATGGAACTTATGCTTGGTGAAATTCAGATATCATCTTGTCCAAATCAATCACTTAACTACTGTTTGATTGTTTATTTTGACACAAAAGTGAGTAGGTTCTAGGAATATGACATTTGGTTATTAAATTTTGTTGATGGAGAATGAGATAGATCTTCTTGTCGATGGGGCATATACTAAATATCAGTTTTTAGTGATATTTCTTGTCTTTGTTTTACTAGATAATCATGGCATCTCAAATTGAAGAGAATCTACCAACTTCATCTACTAATGCTATTTCCTTGGACGATGAGAGTCAAAGGCCTTCACAACCTGATGAAGTTGAACTGAAAAAAGGAGATATTCCCGAGCATGAGATCATTTCGAGCCTGTGAGTAAGTGATTTTTGTTTCGCACGACAATGGCTCCAAAAAGAAATAAAAAAAATAATAATTGGCCCTGCTGTACAATTTTCAGATTTCTGTGCGGCACTTTGTTGATTTATTTGTGACTTCTGCCCATTTTTATTTTTTTCTTAGTTATTTATTTCAAATACAAAATGTGTGTCAGGCGTAATTCGAACCGTAATCCGGTCGTTAAAAAAAGGAAAAGCATAAACAAGCATCTTTGTCCGTGATTTTGTTTTGTTTAATTTTACTTGTTTTGAATTATTTTAATATGTGTGCAAATAATTGTACTAGGTGTTTATTTTTTTTTTTGATTTTACTTATTTTTGTATTTTTATAATAAAAGAAAAAGAAAAAAAATAAGAAAAGGTCCCTTCCCTTCCGGACTTGGGCCAATTTGTTAAAATTGG